ATATATTAACAAAAGAAAGAACAAGAATCCTCTGATCCTCTCAATAGATGCAGAAAAAGCATTTGACCAAGTATAGCATCCTTTCTTGATCAAAACTCTTCAGAGTATGGGGATAGAGGGTACATACCTCAATATCATAAAAGCCATCTATGAAAAACCGACAGCGAATATCATTCTCAATGGGGAAAAATTGAGAGCTTTCCCCCTAAGGTCAGGAACGTGGCAGGGTTGTCCACTACCACCACTGCTATTCAACATAGTATTAGAAGTCCTAGCCACAGCAATCAGACAACAAAAAGAAATCGAAGGCATCCAAATAGGCAAAGAAGAAGTCAAACTCTCACTGTTTGCAGATGATATGATACTTTATGTGGAAAACCCAAAATACTCCACCCCAAAACTGCTAGAATTCATACAGGAATTCAGTAAAGTGGCAGGATATAAAATCAATGCACAGAAATCAGTGGCATTCCCATACACCTACAACAAGACAGAAGAGAGACAAATCAAAGAGTTGATCCCATTTACAATTGCACCCAAAACCATAAGATACCTAGGCATAAATTTAACCAAAGAGGCAAAGGATCTGGACTCAGAAAACTATAAAATACTCAGGAAAGAAATTGAAGAAGACACAAAGAAATGGAAAAATGTTCCATGCTCATGGATTGGAAGAACAAACATTGTGAAGATGTCAATGCTACCTAGAGCAATCTATACATTCAATGGAATCCCCATCAAAATCCCATCCACTTTTTTCAAAGAAATGGAGCAAATAATCCTAAAATTTGTTTGGAACCAGCAGAGACCCCGAATAGCCAGAGGATTATTGAAAAATAAAAGCAAACCTGGTGGCATCACAATTCTGGACTTCCAGCTGTATTACAAAGCTGTCATCAAGACAGTATGGTATTGGCACAAAAACAGACACATAGATCAATGGAACAGAATAGAGAGTCCAGAAATGGACCCTCAACTCTATGGTCAACTAAAATTCAACAAAGCCAGAAAGAATGTCCAATGGCAAAAGACAGTCTCTTCAACAAATGGTGTTGGGAAAATTGGACAGCCACATGCAGAAGAATGAACCTGGACCATTTCCTTACACCACACACAAAAATAGACTCCAAATGGTTGAAAGACCTAAATGTGAGACAGGAGTCCATCAAAATCCTAAAGGAGAACACAGGCAGTGACCTCTTCAACTTCAGCCGCAGCCACTTCTTCATAGAAACATTGCCAAAAGCAAGGCAAGCAAGGGTAAAAATTGAACAATTGGGACCTCAGCAAGATAAAAAGCTTTTGCACAGCAAAAAAAGTCAACAAAACAAAATGGGAGAAGATATTTGCACATGACATATCAGATAAAGGCCTAGTATCCAAAATCTGTAAAGAACTTCCCAAACTCAACATCCAAAGAACAAATGATCCAATCAAGAAATGGGCAGAAGACCTGAATAGACATTTTTCCAAAGAAGACATCCGAATGACCAACAGACACATGAAAAAGTGCTCAACATCGCTCGGCATCAGGGAAATCCAAATCAAAACCTTAATGAGATACTACCTCACACTCATCAGAATGGCTAAAATTAACATGTCAGGAAATGACAGATGTTAGCAGGGATTCGGAGAAAGGGGAAACCTCCTACACTGTTGGTGGGAATGCAAGCTGGTGCAGCCACTCTGGAAAACAGTATGGAGGTTCCTCAAACAGTTGAAAATAGAGCTACCATACAATCTAGCAATTACACTACTGGGTATTTACCCCAAAGATACAAATGTAGGGATCTGAATGGGTATGTGCACCCCAATGTTTATAGCAGCAATGTCCACAATAGCCAAACTGTGGAAAGAGCCAAGATGTTATTTGACAGATAAAGAAGATGTGGGGTATATATATATATATATATATATATATATATATATATATATACAATGGAATATTATGCAGCCATCAAAAGGAATAAAATCTTGCCATTTGCAACGACGTGGATGGAACTGGAGAGTGTTATGCTGAGTGAAATAAGTCAATCAGAGAAAGGCATGTATCATATGACCTCACTGATATGAGGAATTGTAAATCTCAGGAAACAAACTGAGGGTTGCTGGAGTGGTGGGGGGTGGGAGGGAATGGGCGGCTGGGCGATAGACATCGGGGAGGGTATGTGCTATGGTGAGTGCTGTGAATTGTGCAAGATTGTTGAATCACAGATCTGTACATCTGAAAGAAATAATATATTATATGTTTAAAAAAAAGAAGAACAAAAGAAGATAGCAAGAGGGGAAGAATGAAGGGGGGAAATCAGAGGGGGAGATGAACCATGAGAGACAATGGACTCTGAAAAACAAACTGAGGGTTCTGGAGGGGAGGGGTTGGGAGGATGGGTTAACCTGGTGATGGGTATTAAAGAGGGCACATTCTGTATGGAGCACTGGGTGTTATACGCAAACAATGAATCATGGAACACTGCATCAAAAACTAATGATGTAATGTATGGTGATTAACATAACATAAAAAAAAATAAGAGGATGTTTGGAGAATAAACCCTTCTACATTACAGGTTAGGGAAGTGAGATCCAAAGTAATGAAAAAAACTTCTTAAGGATTCTTTACAACAAATTTGTAACCTATAAAATAAAAACTAAAAGATAGGACTTCATCATCAAATGTAAGGAACTTGGACCAGTTAAAAAAAAAAAGAATTCAGGATCAGCTGACAGGAGGAAAATCAATACATCTCTGGCAAAACCTCATTTAAGTTATTAATTGAGCATATACCAGAGATATTTCAAGAGGTTGGTGGTATATAAAGGCACATATTAAGAAGTATAGGTCATGAACCGCAGTAAAAATTTCAAATAAAAAATTACTTAAACACTTGTATTTATATACAGTACTTAAACAGTGCATACTTGGTAACATGACCAATTTGGAGACGTATCCCCTAGATGAAGAACTCTTACTAAGAAATAGTTATATGAGGTATTACATTCAGTATTCACAGAATCAGTTTCACTTACCATTAGAAAGGTAGTACAAATAATACTCAAAGAAATCATTAATGGACATGATATCCCTGAAGTATCACAAAAGAGAATACTAATCTAGTGTTCCTCTTAGTAGGAATTAGTCCACTGGAAATAAAGCAATAATAAACAAAAAGAACAGGCAAATTGATCTTTTTCTAACCATAAGCTATCACCATGGTTAAGTATATGTGCTAAAAATTGTATCAAATTTTTTCCAATTAACTAGAGTGTCCAGCAAGATTAGAGTATAGTTGACTGTTGATGAGTGGTAGTAATGAGATTAATCTAACGATCCTTTGGTGCCTAGAATATTATTATTCAAGATACAAAGTAATTACTTCCACAATTTGGAAGTATAAATATTTTTATAAACATATCTATATTACCTCATGGAATTTTGACCTTATTGAACAGAATGCTTTAAAAAAAGGGGGGGGGGGAAGTCTTCACACTAGAAAATTTCTTAGTTGAAAAGGATTAAAAGACATTCCTTCTCATATCATGTGATTTTGAAATGAAGGAACAGAGAATTCTTACCTCTTTGGGCTTGCTAAGTATGAGAAAAGTTCAATTCTTTGTTAGTGGTATCTTCAAAGAACTAGGAGTCAGAGAGAATACTGCACTTTCACAAAGACAGTGCTATTTTTCTAGACATATCAGCCCAGAAACATTGTGTCTTGATGAAATGAAGTCATATTATGCATTGATATGTATCAATATATGTATAAAATATAACAAATATTTCAGGTAGAATAGCCTAAACTGTTTTAAGCACATGGGTGTAATGTAACAATAACAACTTTTGGTTAAACTAAATGCCACCTTCTCTTCCCTGTCCCCCACAGCAGCACAATTTTTGGAAATACAAAAGCTACCCTATCCTCAGTGAAGATCTCTAGTCTTCAGGATGGCCAAAAAGGGGAGTCCTCCTTTTTGCTACCACACATGTGTCTTCATCTTTCCTAGGCTCACCGTGACATTTCCCAAGTTAGCCATATGTGTATCAGCTGCATGAGCTGCTTTTGAAAACTGAAATTCTCTAACATCTCTCTCATATTGCCCTCTTAGACAAAATTAATCCTGCTAGATCTCATGGTGGACCTTGGAGATCGGTGTTCTGAGTAGTTGGTCAGGTTCACTCATCAGCTTACTGAGCTTCCCTCCATAAGACTCTACATTGCTTTCCCATTCCAATTCCTCCTCCAACAAAAGTAAAGATTCTCTCAATAGGATACATTCTTTGGGAGAAGCTGATTGAGCTGGCTGAACATAGTCCTAAATTGCTGGAACAAGAACAGCTATTACTGAGCTTCCGTGTGGAATTTTATTTGAATAAATGATTGCATGGGTAAAAGAAGCTCTCTCTCTAAGACCTTATCATTTATCCCTTTGCAGAGCCATGAATAGTAGTTCATTGCCCTACTGAGAGGGCTATTAAACTGTGTCATCTCAAATTGTCATTTTATCGGAACTTGTTAAATGCATACAAAAATGTTAGTAGGTGAGCCAAGATTGGAAGGCTTCACATTTGAAAGAGAGAAAACGTGCATTTTCTTTTAAGAAAGAATTAAAATTATTTTTGGAGAGATTTTGATGTGGAATAAAGCAAGTATGAAGATAAACATGATTCTCGTAGTAAAACTGGCAATAAAGTCCCATATATATAGGAGGAGGAAACAGAGCAATTCAGAGAAGTAGCCTGGATGGCAACATAGCCATAATGACATTATAAGGACAATTAGTCTGATCCCTTGTTTTATGAATATGTTTATCCATCTGAAATACAAAGAAGGTGGGCAATGAATAGACAGAATAGAAACTATTTTTATTTATATAAACAGTGGTACTGAGGATATAAAAGTGAATACTTCTATTAAACATTGTATTTTCTTTTTACCCACCCTCAAGTCAATAAGATGCATCTCTGTTCCAGACTTCGACGCTCAATAGTACTTGTTTTCCAGAGTTTATATGCAACACTGATTTCTCCATTTAATGCAGTATCCGTAATCATATTCATCATCATCACAAAATGTTTTACACATTCCTTTCACTCTTTCACATCTCTGAAATCTATACTTGGGCTTCAAGTTACTTCTGGCTGCAATCAAGAAAGACATGTAAAGTCATCAGTCTAATTTTTCACTTGGGAGTCTTCTTACTTAGGGAAGGAGAAAATCTGTTGTAGTTACAAGATCATGTGTGGGAGATGGAGAGTCTGGTGTGTCAGTCAGTTTTATGACACAATTTAGCAGTTGGTACAGAAAATGACTGAGCTACAAACATTTTCCTTACACAAATGTGTTTATACTTACCTTACAATTCACATCAGTACTGAACTTTAGCTGGCTCCTGAAGGCTCTTGCCTTCCTATCTATTTTTCCTTACTTTATTAAGACCAGATTTACTCTCTCATGCTTTCATTAAGATGACATCTGTAGTTTTTTAAAAACCTATAATTTCTATTTTCAGGTGTTTTCAATTTTTTAAACTTAGTCTGATTACCTCTTCACAGTATTATTTGCTCAATGCTTTCTTCTCCATTCCAGATCTTACTCCTAATTGAAATTTTCTTTTATTATATTAGAGCAAATGGATATGTCCCTTTCACCAGTCTACGGTAATAATGAATGAATAACATAACTTAGTACTTAATATATGTATTTTTCTTAAACATTTTTATGATACTTTTATTCTTGTAGCCAAAATATAAACCTTATATGATAGTAATGATTTCTTCTGATTCTCTGTTATCTCCTACCCAGTATATCCTGATAATTATAGTACAGTAAGCATGAAAATACTTACTGATAGAGTAATTTATTGAGGAAACAAAACCACATAAGATATGCTCAGGAAACACAGTTTTGCTGTATATTAAGTATTTAGGAAAAAGAGGAGCCCCGTGTTAGTCTTCTAGTGAGTCATCTAAGACAATGCAAAGAAGGATGGCCTGAGATTCCAAATTCATAGCTTTGGGTTCATATATTAAAATGGAAGCAAATATTTTGGTTACTTAGGATTTGATTTCTTTTAATGATTCAATTGTACTGCAACTAATGCCTTTAGAAAAGAGACTTGGAAGTCAGTCTAACTCCCCCCCACCCCAAATTTTATCATAGTATTTACTTATCTTGGATTCGTCATTCCATCTATCTGCATGATAGAATATAACAAGCATAACTATCACAAATATATTTTGAATATTAAATTTTACACGTGTCAGGAAAAATAAAGCAAAGTAATTTCATTAAAATTTAGAAAATAAATTGAATTGAATTTAGATTAAAATTACATGTTAACTCATAGAACCTAATTGCCTGCACAGAACCTAAATGAAATTCAGAATGGTGTTTCATTTCCATGTGGCAGGTGTTTGAGTATCTAGTATTCTCTAAACATTTGGTTGAGAACTAGTCAGAAACTTCCAATGTAGAGAATGTAGAGAAGACTTCAAATGGACTAACTTTATTGTTGTTAATAAAGTTAGTAGAAAAGAAAAGGAAGTTAAGCATAAAATGAAAGAGATTGTCAGGAGGGTTTGCCATGTAAATATATGTATGTCCTTTGGGAATGGGAAGGTAATTCACGATGATAGAATCCCTGCTCACCAGCAAATTTTGTTGAAAACTGATGAATTGTTGAACACTACATCAAACACTAATGATGTACTACATGCTGGCTAACTGAACAAAATAAAAATAAATAAGTAAATAATAAATTAATATTAATTAAAGATACTTGCATTAGCATCAAAAAATAAAGAAATCCAAAGTTATTTCAGAGCTATATTTGATATAATGAAAAGTAGAGAAGTGTGATCCATGTTGCATTTTACTTTTTTTTTTTAAACTTTTGCTGGGATACGTACTTTTTAAGCTAGTCAACATTCCTGAGACTCTAATATCTTGTCCACCCATAAAATCCATGTTGACGGTCCTGGAAGGCACCGAAACAACATCAGCATGTCGTTGTCCAAGTCGACCGTGGTTCTAGGTTACTGGGATATTCGCAGGCTGGTGCACGCCATCCGCATGCTCCTGGAGTTCACCGATACATCCTGTGAGGAGAAACAGTACATGTGCGGGGAAGCTCCCGACTATGATATAAGCCAATGGCTGGATGTGAAATTCAAGCTCGACCTGGACTTTCCTAACCTGCCCTACCTCATGGATGGTAAGAACAAGATCACCCCAGAGCAATGCTATCTTGCGCTACATCGCTCACAAGCACAATATGTGTGGTGAGACTGAAGAAGAAAAGATTCGAGTGGACATCATGGAGAACCAAATAATGGATTTCCGCATGCAGCTGATACGACTGTGCTATAGCCCTGACCTTGACAAACTGAAGCCTCAGTACTTGGAACAGCTACCTTGACAACTGAAACAGTTCTCCTTGTTCCTGGGGAAATTCTCATGGTTTGCAGGAGAAACCTCACCTTTGTGGATTTCCTTACCTATGATGTCTTAGATCAGAACCGTCTGTTTGAGCCCAAGTGCCTGGATGAATTTCCAAATCTGAAGGCTTTCATGTGCCGTTTTGAGGCTTTGGAGAAGATAGCTAACTACATGCAGTCTGACCGTTTCCTGAAGATGCCCAACAACGAGATGGCCCAATGGGGCAACAAGAGAATATGCTGAGCAGGAGGTGGACTTGTACTGCTTGCTTTATTCCATCCTGTCCCTAGGAGGTGTGTACTCTCTCTTCTCTGCTCTTTTCAATAAATAGCGTTTAGGCTAAAAATAAAAAAAAATTAAGAAAAAAAAAAAAAAAAAATCCATGTTGACTTTAAAGATATGTTAAATTCAGAAAAGAGAAAATATGGATGTATAGTGATCATTTATAACATTAAAATATACTAATGTTGGGCGCCTGGGTGGCTCAGTTGGTTAAGCAACTGCCTTCGGCTCAGGTCATGATCCTGGAGTCCCGGGATCGAGTCCCACATCGGGCTCCCTGCTCAGCGTGGAATCTGCTTCTTCCTCTGACCCTCTTCCCTCTCCTGCTCTGTCTCTCATTCTCTCTCTCTCTCAAATAAATAAATAAAATCTCTAAAAAAATATACTAATGTTGGTTTTACTTATTATTTTAAAGAGTAAAAATGTTTTAAATCATGAAAAAAATCTACAGAATTGTATGATCTGGAAATAAAAAGCTTGTATTACAAAATTGGTTCTATCACTCAGTCATTTGCAAATAATATATCATTTTAGAGTCAGCTATGTCATGTGAAAATTGTAAAAGTTATAATGGGATAAAGTATGTAAATACTGTGAAAACTGGTTATGTTATAAACTGTACAATGTTATACACATATCATCCATGAGTGCATATTTATGTGAGGTGATTGGAACTAGTTAATATAAACAACAAAAAAATAAAAATGAATGACTGTTTGGAGGAAGGATGCACAGCATCTCTTTTATCTATAAATACCTCTGCACATTTTACACATCACTGGAGAAATGGTCTATGATTACTGATTTTCATGAAAAGAGAGATATATAAACACTAACTGAAAGACCTACAAGAAATATATATTTTAGACAGGTTTCTGAGAATCTGGACAAGAGTGAAGTTATACAAATATGGTGTAGGTCTATTGTAGACAGCAACCTGTAACAAGTCCTGCATACACATGAATAAGGACAACTCTGTTAGGAAACCAGTGGTTAAAAGCTCAGTGGTCTCCATGCAGTTGGTTAAATGTTAGTTTTCCCAAGCTCTGATAGGGGGAAGGGCGGTGCTCCTCCCAGGAAAAATGTCTGGCATATATTTCCCCATCTCCTAGCAAATAACTTCTCTGAAAATGACACTTCTGTTAACTTGTGATGCAAATAGAAAGGCTGACTTGAAAGGAGGAGGAGGTATTTTGGATGATGTCCACTCTTACTGGGTCCAAGTTGAAATCAAAGTAGGAGCAAGGTCATGGGTCAGCTGGAAGTTTCTATAGTATGTTTGAAAGGGTGTGATCTTTCAGAATCATAGTATGACGTTTCAATTGTGTATGCTGTGTTTATTAGGTTTGATACATTGGACAAATGATTTAGTCCACTGGATTTCAGTTTCTTCATGAAATTGAGGTTCTTGTAAAATTTTAAAATTATAATGGGATAAAATATGTAAACTTCTATAATGTTAAAAAAATGAATAAGCCTTCAAAATCAGGTTACTCTCATAGGCTTTGTTTTGACTTTCCATCTGGATTTATACTTAAAACTGACCTCAAATGAAGCAGTGTTATTAGCATGTATGGCTTGTTATAGTGAGAACACAAACCTCTAGTCTTAAAGCTACTTTAGGTCAGGTCCACTGTTTGCCTTGTTCACTGATTTATTTCAACATGTAGTAAAATGCCTGAAACATACATACTCAATAAATGTGTAAATGCCTGACAAAATGATTGAGTGAAAGAGTTGGGTATCAGAGATCGATATTTAGTTGGTGTTTTATACTGGAAAACTCTCTGGACTTTATTACAATCTCTCCATCAGTTAGGTCCTATATGAGCAAATGACTTAACCCCTGTACTGATTTCTTCAACTGTAAATTGTGTTGAATCATGTCTACTTCAGATGGTTATGTGGCAATCACATGAGATAACAGATAATAAAATGTCCTGTAGCCCACAATTAGTATAGTAAGTTTATTGTCATTAATATGAGTTGTTTATAGATTTGTGTCAGCTTTAAAAGAAAACCTTTATTAAATCACTGATTTTTTTCACTTTCACTATTATATGAAGAGAATACCTTCTCTTGTGATTCATACACACACATTTAAGTAAGCAACTATTTGTACTTGGCCCTGTACTGGATGTAGATGCAAAAATGAATAAAATAATTAAGCTCACCACCCCCAAGAGTAAACCAATGTTTTTTGGGAAATGGGGGCATAGAAATGGTACAATTCACTTGTAAAGACAATCCTGAGAGATGAATAAAATGTTCTTAAGCATAAAATAAAGAGCCGTACACTGGAAAACTCTATTTTACTATTACTACTACCACAACCATTATTAAAAGCTATGCTCTAGGGATGGCTGGGTGGCTCAGTCAGTTAAGCATCTGCCTTTGGCTCAGGTCATGATCTCAGGGTCCTGGGATTGAGTCCTGCATCGGGCTCCCTGCTCAGCAGAGAGCTTGCTTCTCCCTCCCCCCTGCTTATGTGCACACACACTCTCTCTCTTTCCCTCAAATAAATAAATAAAATCTTTTTTAAAAAAAGGCTATGCTTTATTAAGTGTCCATTAGGTTTCAGGTTCCTTACTAAACAAGTAGTATTCATTATCTGATTTAATGCTCTAATAACCTTATCAGATAGGTATAACCATTCTCATTTCACTCATAAGAACAACTGAAGTAAAGAACTCTACATAAGGTTTCAGAGGGAGTAGAAGGGGTTGGGCAGGCTTCAAAGTTATGTTTTGACTCCAAAGAATTGTACGTCCAACCATTTCACTGAAGAGGTGACTTTTAGTTGAACCTTGAAAAGCCAATAGCATATTTTCTAGGAATTGAGGGGAAGCACTTTTAAGCCGTGTGTGTGTGTGTGTGTGTTTGGAGTGAAGTGGTACGGATATGGACACAGAGTTCAGAAAACACAGGGAAGGTAAATTGGGCTCAGGTGTCAAAAGACCTCTATTAGCTGAGGAGCTGAATATTCTCATACATGGAGTGTGGTGAAACTATGGAAATGTTAGGCACCATCTTCCCTGTAAGGAAGGGATTAGAGGAAATTTTGCAGGTTGTGTAAATGTTGTTAGGACATTCTAAGTTAGAAATAATGAGAAAGATAATCAAGTTAATGGATTTCAAATAAAGAGGAGAAAGTGAGCTTGGGAGTTATTTGTGAATTAGAAGCAGCCCAATTTGGGAATTTTGGATCTGGGGGAAGAGTACCAGGAAGTAGAGCAGTGATGAGTGTTTTAGCCCTTGATGCTGTGCCCTGATGTTAACAATTAGTGAAACAGAGAATAAAAAGGGGGTGGGGGCAGATGTTAGCCTTTGTGAATAAGATGAAATCTATTTTGGACATATCAGGATTAAAGAATTTGGAAACCATCCAGATAAGTAAGTTCCATAACTAGAAATAAATACAGTTTTGTGGTTTGGAAAGATTTGAGAAAAAAATATTTGTTGATAGCAGAAGTCACTACAGTGAACAAGATAATCTCAGGAAGACATACAAAACAAGAGAAGGGTTTCAGAGACAAAGTACTAGAGGCCACTGCATTTAAAAGACCATCAAATAATCGTCAGACAATTGTCAAAACAGTGACAAACTCTAGCAGTGTGCAAAGTCCACCAGATGAAGAATTAAAATAGGACTTTGGGTTTGTTTTTAGGAAAACACCGATCACATTAGCAAGAAGATTTTCAGTTAATTGACAGGTGGGTGAATGTATCAGCAAAGAGAGTGGAGACTGTAAATCTAGGCTGTTTTTCAAGAAGTTTGGTGAAGAATAGAATAAAGCTTAAAGGAAAAAAAATCTCATGAAATCTGACTAATTTTACCTTTAACATCCCCAGAATCCTACCGTTCCTCATTGTTTTTATTGTTAGCACCCTGGCCTGAACTACCATAATGTATTACTTATATTACATTAATATCTTCTAACTCCTGAAAGCATTTCAGAGAGTTTTTTTTTTTTTAACGAAATTCAAGTCATGTTTTTCCTCTGGTTAAAACCCACTGGATTTCTCTCAGTATAGAGGACAAGATCCCTTCTCATTCCTAAAAATTCTGGGTAATCAGCCAACACTTTTCCTTTCAGACAAGCTCAAGCTCACTCAAGACTCTCCTCCTGACTCACTGTTCTCCGGTCCCCTTCACAGGCCTTCCCCTCAAATTTCATGTGAGCTCCCAGGATGCTTCTTGGTCTCTGTCAATTTTTTGCTCAAGTGTTATCTTCTCAATAAGGGCC